CCAAGGTGCTTCTGAGGAGGAGTTTGCCGTCGCTGCTTCGGGCGGTTGTGAGGCTCGTTTGTGGCCGGCGAACGCTTAGCGGCCTGACCTTAGAAAAGGCCGCTAAACGGGAAACACTCCATTTACAGTACTTCTTTGTATTACGTTTTATTTGGGGCTGCCTGTTGCATGTCCAAGGGAAGAAACTAAAACCTTTTCAGGTGTAATCAGCTTTGTTTTAGAACAAATGTAATTTAGCTACGGGATCTTTCTACTTGGACTCATGAAAAGCTGTTTTACATGACGTTATTCCTGATCAAGGGCCTTCTCTGGCTCTCTTGCATTTTGCCAGTTTTTTTTTTTTTTGACAGAGATGAAGTTAGGCATCTTCAGGCCCTTGGACATACCTATATACATACCCCTATAATAGACATATGCACGAATAGCTGTAACTGACTGGTTTGCGTAGAAAAGGAAGACTGTTGGGAAGATCAGAATTTGATGGGCATGATGGTGGGCGTGGCTCTCCAAAGCTTTATTACAGCTGAACTATAGCAAAGGTTGGTTTCCTGAAGGGAAGGCAGATGGAGATCTGGTCATCTTGCTAAGCTTGAGAGCCAGTGTGGTCTGGTGGTTAAACTACTGGGCTAGAAACCAGAAACTACTGGGCAGTGAGTTCTAGTCCGGCCCTAGGCATGAAAGCCGGCTGGGTGACTTTGGGCCGATTGCTCTCCCTCAGCCCATGATGTCAGGCTCAGGTGCGCAACCAATGGATCAACATTCGGTTGGTCCAAAAAAAAGCAGACCCTGCACCTGTGGGAAAAATGCTAGGAAGAAAAAAAAAATTGAATAAAGCACAGTAACTAGGTTCACACAACTCACAAAACTGTAACAGAACTTCCTCGATTTTGGCTTTCATGCTGTAAGAATCCATTTACAATAAGCTGTGTTTTTTTGAACAAGCCATAGTGGCCTGGTTGGGATATTGTGCTAAATCAGAATATGATTTGTTTCAGTATGATATGAATTGTAAGTCTCTTGTGTTTTTGAAGTACTTCCTTACTCTGTAAGGCACCAAATAGCGAAAACATGACATTTGCCTGATTAATATCCATATATAAATCTATAGTTTATTTGTATTTTGAGGTGGAAACCTCTAGATTTGAGAAAGAGTCAGATAAAATACCAACAAAAAAAAAAGTGGAGGTTTTATTTGTGATATGCAATCAGTAGAAGTAATTCAGCTTTGATAATATACCGTGGGGTCACAGTTGTCTAAGGACTGCCTGGTTTTGTATGAGTTTCCCAGGGGGGTGTTAAGAGACTGCCCTGCAGCTCAAAGTGAGAGTCATTATGCCAGTGTATAGCAGAGATGGGATATTAGCAATAGTGGCCCTTTGGGTTTCCTCCCCTATGAAGATGATATTAAGATTTGTACAATAACGGAAAAATATGTTTAGCTGCAGCGGCCTGTGTGTTTCTTTTAATAGTACTTTACAGATGCAATTGCATTCTGAAGTCTGGCGAGCCGTTTCATTTATTTATTAATCATACTTTTGCCCCGCTTCAATCAAAACAATTCCCAGTGGCTTACGGTGTTTATATAAACCAAAAATTAAAACATCCCCAAATAGAGGAATCATTGTTTTGAGGGATCCCTGCCCCCTGAGAGGTAAATTAAAAGTAGTTTAACAATAAAATGGGAAATCTGGTGAGAGAAGGAGTAAATGAATAACCTATGTAATGAATTACATGAATTCATATGGAATTATGAAAAAAGACAGGTGATGCTGCAGCGGCGCATAATTACACCTGCAAATACCTGACATGTTTATATAGTGAGATACTCTTTCTTTGAATGGAGCGCTGCCAGCCATGCAGAGGCACCAGGGCCCCTTGTTGGGGTGTCTAAAAGGACAGTAAAGCCAATCCAATGATATACCCCCTGCACAGCAAGAGACCAATTAAAAGAATTAGTCTCCTTCATTTCTCACACAAACAATTAGCTGATGATCGAACTGCCACATTCATTTAACTTCCAGTGGTAACCAGGGCTTGTTTTTTAGGCACAACTTCATCCTGCATTCCAAAAAAGCAGGATTTGAATTGCTCCTGTCTTTTAGACGGCGGCCAATTGAAAATTCAGTATGAAGCTTCCAGCTAGTGGATTAGAATCAGTTTGGGATCTGGCCAGATGGCTTTGGCCTTTATAAGATTAAGTGCTGTTTCTGGAGAGCACTTTCTAAAATGGTTGTGACAGGATAGGTCAGAGTTTCTGTGAAAGGCCTGTTTGCAAGAGTGTGAGTGGGGGCGTGTCCTGCTGGATGATAGTGCAAACTATACTCAGCATAATATGTTTACTTGGTGCTCCAGAAATGCACCTCCTTGTCAGTGTCGGTTTCTAGAAGGACTACCAAAGTAAATGTGTATCCTTACTTTCACTTGCTGACTTCCACAAGCTTGGTTATGGATCAAACATCAGTTCCCATTGTCCCCCTTTATGGGAATTATGAAATACAAAGTCATAAATACATCTGGAGAACATGAGGTTGCAAAGAGCTTCCATGTTCAAGGAGGACAACAAAAATCAGAAGGTTAGTCAAACATTGCCTGGCTTCATGGTAGTGCCTGACTCACCTTAGCTGGTTTAAAAAAACCAAAGACAGATCTGGTTTGTGCCACAAAGTTTTCCAGATGTAGGCTAGAACTAGGACATTGAAAGAATGTCTTGGGAGAAAGCAATAGCAAAGCCCTTGGTTTTGCTGCCAAGAAAACTACAGGGATGTGACAAGGTCACCCAGGTGGAGTTCAGCTCAAAGGCAGTTTCATCTTAAACAAAAAATAGTCAATTTTAATACTACTTACTTTCTTCTGAAGGATGTGAGGAATCTCTAATAACTAACAGGTGTCCTCTGATCGAGAAGCCTTTCTACTTAATCCTTGGTGGACGAATACAAACAATAGCAAAGGCATTCAGCGCTGCTTGGAAAGCCCACTGCTATTTTCACTGGAATAGCAAGGTTTGTGCTGAAAAAGGATGCCAGGGTAAAGTCCTGGTGAGATCTGGCATAAATTAAGCTCTGCTGATGACCTGATGATATAACAGGATGGTTCAGCAATTTACAGAGTAGGGGAAGTGGTGAGTCAGTGCAGCTCCTCTGGCAACAACAGTCTTTGTCAGCCTGTTTCAAGCTGCTCAGTTGTGACTGGTACGTACTCTCACGGAAGAAAGCAAAATCAGGAGCCCTCTTTAACTTCATCTGGAGTCATCTGGCAGGCAAACCAGGTATAGAATGCCAGGAATAAAAAGGTTGGGCTCAGCAGGACTTGGGGGAGCTGTGATCTCTATTCCCAGAAGGAGTGATGGTAGTCAAGATGTTGCTCTTCAAGTGGCAGAGAGTTTTAAATGGTAGTTGTGTGGTCTGGAGGCATGTGGCCTTGTGTTATGGTCCCCACCACCTCCCATGGAGACTCCCAGAAACAGAATATTGGTATCATTCCTGTCTTTTACCCTGCAGTGTGTGTGGCACAACAACATGTGATGTCCCCGAAAGGTTTGAATTTCTCTACCTCCTCCAACCGGCAGTCAATGAAGGGAAAGAGGGGAGGGAGGGGGGGAACCAAGTGAAGTGAAATGTTGGAATGTGTTTTTTTAGTGTAGCATGTGCTGTAGTGGGGGAGGGTGAGAATAGGAGGGGGATCCTGAAAAGGTCATTGAATCTTTTCAATGCCCAGCATGCATTTTCTTTAGCATGCTAATTCTTTAACGTCGTCATTTCCTGGCAATGGCAAGCTCCTTTTAAATTTTATTGCACTATTAATTAATACTTATGAAGATGACTTCAGATAGTTTCAAGGGGAAAAGAAGAGCAGGCACGTTAGGCCAGTTCTCCAGAATCTAAAATGGAAGCGATCCTGGATAGTGTGTAAAATAGCTACACTAGCAGAAGCTGCTTCTTCATTTTTGACAGCCCTTGCAAGAACATCCTGGTTTTAAAAATGTTAATTTTGGAAACTGAGAATATTTATTACCATATTATTAAGTCTGCATGTTTGGGCTAAGGATGGTTGCAGATATTAACCAATGTTGGGATGATTTGGTTCGTCTAAGCTTTGGGACCTAGTAAAGAAATTGACATGTTAGAATAGCCCGTCTGTCATATTCAGATCTTAGGCATACCACCTGGAATTGTGTGGATTTATAGTTCAACACATTGAGGAATGAGGGTTTTGCTTCCCTCCCTCCAATCAACTGATGCTCGGTCATTGGTTCTTCACTGCCACTAGCAATCTGTCAGCCCCACAGATAGACCAGACCAGGAAATCACCTCCACAGAATGAATGGCTGAAACTACTTTGATTGGCTGTAATAACAGAATTTTGCAAGTGTGATTTTGCTATACCTCCTCCTTATACTCCAGGGAATCAGGGAGGCATCTATCTGAATCTCTTCTGAATATTACCTTGTTTTTCAGGACGTAAAAAGTGTTTTGGCCCCTTTTGTCTAGGTAACAATTCTTGCATACTTCTGTCAAGGCCATCTTCCTCACTTTCTACACAACCCTAGTTGCAAGCTTAATAGTTGGGCAGTGGGGAAACATGGATAGGACTGGGTTTTCATATCTCCTGAAGGTTGTCTGTGCCTTACAACTGTGGATACTAAAAGCGCCATTGCAGATTATCTTACTGCTAAAAGTGGTACCTCCAGTCCTTAAAATATCTTTGAGAAAGGACCAGAATATGCATATGATTAAAGGTAACGTTAATTGAATTGGAACTCTGCAATAATAATCAGAGTGGAACAGAAATTAAAACCCTCCCATTTAACCAAACTATTTATCCTATTTCTTGTTGTAATTGTAAGCCTGAAAAAGGAGATGTTACTTTCATATCTTACTGTAATGCTTTACCCTGTTTGGTTTTTGTCATTTTTGCCATCTTTTATTCTCTCTCTGTGTGTGCAGGTGTATGTGTTTACTTGTGAGCCACCCAGCATTGTTGGGCATCATTCAAATTTAATAAATAAACAAACAAACATTTGCCAAGGTCCATCTAGGGTGTTAAGTGTTATACTATAGGATAGGAACTTCTGCTTGCTGTGCTAACTATTATGGTGTCCATCATTATGTTCTATTATTGCCCTGTATTCTTTCTAGGCTTAGAAAAACCCCTGGGCTTCGTGATTCTGTCATCAGTTAATTTTGTCCTAGTGCTAATCTGTTGTCATGTTGAAGTTAAAGTGCTCAGAGTCGGTCAGAGTTGTAGTACGATGCCGACCAATGAACAGCAAAGAGAAAGTGGCTTCCTATGAACAAGTGGTTGAAGTAGATGTGAAATTGGGGCAGGTATCTGTGAAGAACCCAAAGGGAACTTCTCATGAGCTACCAAAGACTTTCACTTTTGATGCTGTTTATGACTGGAATTCCAAACAGTTTGAACTGTATGATGAGACTTTCCGGCCTCTGGTGGACTCGGTACTCCAGGGGTTCAATGGGACCATTTTTGCTTATGGGCAAACTGGGACAGGGAAAACGTACACAATGGAAGGTGTGCGTGGAGACCCTGAGAAAAGAGGGGTCATTCCCAATTCATTTGACCACATCTTCACCCATATTTCTCGGTCTCAGAACCAGCAGTATCTGGTGAGAGCATCTTACTTGGAGATCTACCAAGAAGAAATCAGAGACTTACTATCAAAGGACCAGTCCAAGAGGCTGGAATTGAAGGAAAGGCCAGATACAGGAGTCTATGTAAAGGATTTATCATCATTTGTCACAAAAAGTGTCAAAGAAATAGAACATGTTATGAATGTAGGAAACCAGAATCGTTCGGTCGGAGCTACCAATATGAATGAACACAGTTCCCGTTCCCATGCCATTTTTGTGATCACAATTGAATGCAGTGAGGTTGGGCTTGATGGAGAGAACCACATACGTGTTGGAAAGCTTAATCTGGTGGACCTTGCAGGCAGTGAGCGTCAGTCTAAGACAGGAGCCCAGGGGGAGAGGTTGAAAGAAGCAACGAAGATCAATCTCTCTCTCTCCGCTTTGGGCAATGTCATATCTGCCCTAGTGGATGGCAAAAGCACTCACATCCCCTATCGGGACTCAAAGCTCACCCGGCTGCTTCAGGATTCCTTGGGTGGCAATGCCAAGACTGTGATGGTAGCCAACATTGGCCCCGCTTCATATAATGTTGAGGAGACCTTGACCACTTTGCGCTATGCCAACCGTGCCAAGAACATCAAAAACAAGCCAAGAGTCAACGAAGATCCCAAAGATGCACTCCTACGGGAATTCCAAGAAGAAATTGCTCGACTCAAGGCACAGCTGGAGAAAAGGTCCATTGGCAAGAGGAAGAAGAAGGAGAGGAGGAGAGATGGTGGTATTGGTGAGGAGGAGGAGGAGGAAGAGGAGGAGGAGGAGGAGGAGGAGGAGGGTGAAGAAGACGAAGGGGTTGACAAAGATGACTACTGGAAAGAGCAGCAAGAGAAGCTGGAGATAGAGAAGAAAGCCATCCTGGAGGATCACAGCTTGGTAGCAGAGGACAAGATGAGGCTGCTGAAAGAGAAGGAGAAGAAGATGGAAGATTTGAAACGTGAGAAAGAAGCAGCTGAAAAGCTGGGTGCCAAAATCAAGGTAAGATGCTTTTTCTACAGTACAGCATCTTTATATTGGTCATTAACCAGCATAACATGCTCTTTTCTGTGTATTCAGAAAATTCAAACTGTCGTATGCGTGTGCATACTGTGTTAGAATTAAACCTTGAGGCATGCAGAAGTAAAGGTGAAAATTGTTCTTTTTCTGTCGAGATGATGTTTATGACCTGTTCTTCAAGATATTGTATATGTAAAATATTCACAACCTGAATGCAGCGAAGGGTGGGTTACTTGCTGCGCTTCTGGGGAATATCTTAATTTATTATTTAATCAGTAATGGAACTAAATGTGTTCAACTTAGCTTTACCAATTGAATCTAGAACAGGCTCTCATTTTGATAAACATCAGCCAGGGGTAGGATAGATGAAGAATACTGTTTTCTTTAAACTTTAAATTGACTGGAATTATAGTTGTGAGACAGTGATAATATCTGCAATGTTCTAATTTTGTGAGCTGGGGTTCCTCCCCTTGCCCCTCTTCAATTTTTGCTTTTAAGGCAATGGAAAGCAAGCTTCTTGTTGGTGGGAAAAACATTGTTGATCACACAAATGAGCAGCAGAAAATCTTGGAACAGAAGCGGCAAGAGATTGCTGAGCAGGTAAGATGGAGATGGAGCTGCCATTTTTCCATACCTTCTTTTGCTGTTCACCTGCAGGTCTTTACGATTTGGACAAAGTCCCCTGAGAACATTTCCCAAGCACGTCTCTTTCACAAGCATGAGAACTACTGAAGATATAGACAGAACTTTGCGAGAGCGTATCAAAAATCCACCCCGTCCAGCTTCCCAGTTACTTTGTTAGATTTCTATTCTGTCTTTCCTCTGCAAGCTCAGAGTGGCATATTTTTCCTCCTCACAGCCCAGTGAAGTAGGCTGAACTGAGAGAAAGTGATTGGTCCAAAATCACCTAGTGAGAGTCTGTGGCTGAGGGAGGAATTGAAGCTGGCTCTTCCTGGTCCTAGTTCTTCATCACTGTACAACAGGTGTTTTCACCTTTGTCGCAGTGGCCTTTTCAGCACATGCACAGCAGGATATCAAAACACTAACCCTTTTCCACTGTTGCTCAAATATAGCTAGTAGTCAAAGGTATATTATGTATGAAATGAACCTTTTATTTATCTAGACCGGTGTTTCTCAACCTTGCCACTTTAAAATGTGTGGAGTTCAGCTCCCAGAATTCCGCAACCAGCATGTGCTGGCTGGGAAATTCTGGAAGTTGAAGTCCACACTTCTTAAAGTTGCTAAGGTTGAAAAATAGTGATCTAGACTAATTATGTACTCACTAATTTATGTGATATTCTCATTGGATAATTTGCCCTTCCCTCTTTTCGTATTTCCTTGTTTAAGGTGTAAAGTTCCTGAAGTTTATTAGTTGAATTCTTTGAGCAGTAGAAAACTAATTAAGTAAAAATTATTGTTGTTCGCAAGTATTTAATCTGAGAAAAGTTACCCTCTGAATGGTGAAGGCCACCATCTTCCTTCCAGCTTTTCATCTGATTAAAATTTCTATATAATCAGTTAATGTTCCATCCTCTTTTTCAGTTAGGAACTGAGAGCCAAGTACATTAGACAAGTTCCTGAGGCTCTTTGACTTGGAAGGGGCCCTTTAATTCATTGATACTTATTTTGGCATAAACAGGCTGTAAGTCCCCTCCCAGGAAATGAGTTAATTCTTGTGCCGAGTTGAGTGTCCCAATACTTTTAGTGTGAATGATTTTTTAACACAGCAACAAAAAAGTATAGTTTAGTAAATTGAGAAGCTTTATATGAATGTCATGTTCTTTGTATTTTCTACAGAAACGACGGGAACGAGAAATCCAACAGCAGATGGAAAGTCGGGATGAGGAGACCCTGGAGCTGAAGGAGACCTATAGCTCCTTACAGCAGGAGGTGGACATAAAAACTAAAAAACTGAAAAAGGTGAGTTGGCTCCTTGTTGATGGGTGATATCAGCATAAGAAAGTTCAAGATTTGGTTGCCTGCCTCAACAGTGGCAAGAGCTGGCAGATTTGAAATGGGCCGAGTCCTCCAGGACATTCCCTTGAGTACTTCAAAGGGACTGTGGAGAAGAACGTCTTGGTGCGTTGCACTATTTTCCCTGCCTAAAGATTTTGTGGTTATCAGGTAAGCTTCCCTCACCACCCCCATTCAGGTGTGTTAGCTGGGAGTTGTGGGAGTCAGATTCTAGATCGGAATGCAGGGTTCAGGTCTGCTCAGCCATAGAACAAATCTGTGGTGGTGGTGGTTGTTTTCCTCCTTTCTCCAAATCGCTGCTTGCATCCCACCCTTCCTTCTGTAAGGTCAAGTAGCATGGATTGGGATGTGCACTGCCTTGATTTCCCCTCCCAACAGTCCTGTCGGGGTGGTCTGTCTGAGAGAGACTGGCCCAAAATCATCCAGCGATCACCGTGTGTGGTTGTGGATAGGAGCTTGATGTTGCAGGCCACAGTGCATGACTCTTCACTGATGTTGTGTCCATGCAGGTCCATTTTTGCAAAGGTAGCCTTGTCTGTTCATGTCGCACTCCACAACTGTATTCCTCTTTTCCAGCTTTTTTCTAAGCTGCAAGCTGTGAAGGCTGAAATCCATGACCTGCAGGAGGAGCACATCAAAGAGAGACAAGAACTGGAGCAAACCCAGAACGAACTGACCCGGGAGCTCAAGCTGAAGTATGTTGTAGCTGACCATTTGTTACTGTTAAAGCCCAGAACTTGGGATGGAAGGGGCATCATGGTCAGCTGCCCCAGAGTTGGGAATGAACTTATTTACTTTAGCTACCTGGAAGATGTGGACTAGATTCCCACAAGGCGGCCATATCTCACTTTGTCCTTTGCTGATCTCATACAGGCACTTGATTATTGAAAACTTCATTCCCTTAGAAGAGAAGAACAAGATCATGAACAGATCTTTCTTTGATGAGGAGGAGGACCAGTGGAAACTTCACCCCATCACCCGATTGGAGTGAGTTGTCCTTAACTTTGGGGGTTGAAGGACATATCCAGTTTTATTTATTTTGTCAGACTATCTACCCCATTTCAAAAGACTTTGAGTAAATGACAAAAATGTTAAATCCATGCACAGCCTCTTGCTGTCCCGTCTATCTCCAAAGTATTTCCTTCTTTGACTATTACAGCTTTACTGCTCTGGGTCTCCAGGTTGGGGGCATGATGTTCATTGGCTGGTTCTCTGGTTTTCAGCCAGCAAGGTGATTGTGCCACTCTTCCATTTTAAATGATAGATGTTACACTGTCAGTGTCAGTGCAGGAATTTCGCAATGTGCAATATAGGTTCCTTGTTTTTTCCCCCCCCTGCTATATACATTTGGAAGTTCTAGCCTAAAGTTTTGTCTTCCTGTAAATTTCAGACTCTTATTCTTCTCATCATAAAAGTTTTTAGTTTTCATGACCAAAGATACCAATTTGGAAATGTGCAGAATATTTGCTGAAGATCAGGAAACAAAAGTATGGCTGTGCAGGCTTTGGGTGATTAAACTAGAATATTCAGCAGTGAGAACCTCATTATGGTTACAAATTTATTCTACCTTTTCTCAGTAAGCAGGAATAGAAACTTTTTTCTGCCCAGGTTTTATAGCTTTTAATGTTTTGGCCTTCAAGCCTGGATTGGATATGGCTGGATTGGGTGCAGTCCACATTTTCAGCCTTAATTCTTCCTGCTCTCCAACCACATGAAAAATTTGCCTATTTTTCTGTCTTTTTTTTTTTAATCCTCTTGCCCCAAAACAGGCCATCTGTTTTGGCCCATCACTCCAAAGGGCTCTGTGGGTCATGGGCTACTCATTCTAGAGCATCAGATGTTAATGTAAACAGTTTTCCTTCCACTTTTCTCTGCCTAAATGTTTTAATTATTTTAAAATGCCCTGTTGCGAAATAATTAGCTAGAAAAATTGAGCATTAGGAACAGAGGGGGAAATCTGTTAGGGGGCCCAGCACCTTTGAAAAAAAAGTAAACCTGATATACAATTTAGTCTTATTTGGAAACCATTTCTAAACTACAATTTTATACATGGAATTATTCTACATCCCAAATTTGAGTTCTAGAGTTCATATTTTAATTTGATGTATAGTCTGCATTATTTACAGTATTTTTTCAATGTATCATTTATTGTTTATAGCTGTTCTTTTTGCTCTTATTGATTTCAATTGGGCTAATCAATTTTAGAGCTTTATAGAGACATGTTGTGACTAGAAATTAGGTATGAAATGTCTACAGTACTCTAAGCTGTTATTGATGTTTAAGAATACATTAGCCATGTGATATTTTAGATTTGCTGCTAATTCAAGATTTGTTGGATATCCACCAGTATTTTATTATTTATATTGGGGGGTTTCCCTCTTTCCCCTCTTTTTACTAGATTCTCTATATTTTTCTACCTCTGTAGAAGCATTACTCATTTTCCTTTTTTCTTTGAAATTATAATAGAATAAATAAAAATAGCTGTATGATAAAAGAACTAAACACATTCATGGAGCAGGAAAGGCCTATCAGTTGCTGATCGTGATAACTAAGCAATAGCTCCATGTTCAGAATACCAGATGTTGGACACCAAGTATGGGAAAGGAGAGCTTCATGTCCTCTTTACTGATTTCCTAGCGGAGTTGAAAACAGGATGCTAGTTATCAGCTGAGTGCATTGTGGACTGACCCAGCAACTAGGTCACAGGACAAACCCTGGCTGAGAAGACAAGAGGATGGAGATCTTATTCTTCAAAGGGCTTGCGTAATCTTAGGGAATGGACAGCAGCCCCTTATACAGATGAACCCCTTCCTAAGGTTCCTTTGTCCAGTCCAGGTGCCAAGTGGTCTTCTCCAGAAAACAGACTCTAGGATAGCTTAGAACAGCCTCAGGTAATGCAGCTGAACATAATCCTGTTTCTAGGGACCGTGAGAAGAGAGTTGCTACCTCGGGGCTGGGTTCACACAGCATATGTGTAATGGAAGGTATCTGCGAGGAGGAGACTGGTATGGGAGATCAAGGCTGTCGGGAGGGAAGTAGTGCATTCCAGAAAGGGGACAAGGCAAGTGCTTTCTCAGTCCACAGCAAGACTGCGAGAAGAAGAAGAGGTTTAGACGAGCCCCTCCCTAGAGTATCACAGGGTACATCCACTGGTTGCTGTAGTGCAGAGTTAGTCTGGCGAGATTCTCTCTAGAGGCTGTAAGCAAATAAAAGAACTGTACTGAACTGAACTGTTTCATCGTCGTTCTTGGGCTGAGCCTGACATCAATGTTGCCAGACTTACTCTACACCAGAATTCTGGGAGTTGAAGTCCACACATCTTCAAGCTGCCAAGGTTGAGGAACACTGCTCTACACTACAGCAACTAGTGGGTATACCCCATGATACCCTAGGGAGGGGCTAGTCTAAACCTCTTCTTCTCATGGTCTTGCTGCGGACTGAAAAAGCACTTGCCTTGTCCCTCTTTCTGGAACACACTCCCTCTCTCCCGACAGCCTTGATCTCCCATACCGGTCTCCTCTTTGCAGATACCTTCCATTGCAATATTAGTCTGTTTGAGGTTTGGTGTGCTGTGGCAACCCAAGCAGTGTCTTAACACGGTGTGTGAAACAGACCATCACATTGAGGTAGAATATAGTTGGTTCATTTTGATATAGCAAGGTATGTGAACACATTAGTTTGTATGAACCTAGGCTTAGGGTATTGAAGGAATGTTGCCAAGGTGTGTATATTTGTGAGTAACAATAAAGGAGGCACAACTTGACTAATGACATAGAAACTGTTTTTATGTTGTGTGGTGACATGAGTGGAGCTCAAAGAATTCTTGACTACTGGAGCTTTCCAATAAAGAAGCTCTACTTTCTGCACTTAAATAGTCTGCACAACTGAAAGGGAGAACTGAGATCCTGCTAGATGTGCACAATAATGTTATTGGGATGGATGCTGTGGTTCCTGAGGTGAAAACTTCGATTCTTGGTGGTTAAGATGGGGGGATCTTTTTCTTCTTCTGGTGTTGGGCAACAGTGGTGTGGTCTTCTGGGGCATCGAGAGATGAACATCATGGTGGTCGGAGAGGCTCCCTGGATCTTAGGGTGGCTGCTTGTGAACAGAGAGGGTGTTGTGTATTTGACTTCCCGTTCCCTTCCTAGGAACCAACAGATGATGAAAAGGCCAGTGTCCGCAGTGGGATACAAGAGGCCCTTGAGTCAGCATGCTAGGATGTCCATGATGGTCCGCCCAGAAGCTCGGTACAGGGTGAGCTCAGACTTCTTTTGTGCGGGAGCTCTGAAGAAAAATAGGAGCAATGTGAAAAGTAAATACAAGAAGGGACTAGCCATTACCTGAAATAAGAAAGGTGTCCACTCATTGGAAAGGCAGGCGCTTACGTCCTGTAAAAAGAGTGTAATTTCCCTTTGGAGATCACAAGGTTTCCAATGTCCTTCATGGCCTGTAGCTTAGTGAAGAATAGTTGAGTAGCTGTTCTCCAGTGATGGATGTCTACAGTGGTGTCTACCTGGAAGGATTCATCATGAGACATTAAGGATGCTGTTGGGACAAGCCTGCAAATTTTCCAGAGCACCTCCTTCCTGGCTGGCTGCTTTTGGTCAAAAAGATCATGCATTAGAAGGACTCCTCGTGATCCATGATAACAATTGATATTGTGTCTCTGCTTGTGTGGAGCTTTGGTTCTTCTACTGCAGGAGGAGTTGTGCAGAGGCTGTGCTTCCCTCCCCCCCCAAAAAAAATTCCAGCTGAAGATGCAGTGATTTTATCAGAGAAGGTGTGGTAAAAAAAATGTCTACCTTTCAAAGGGGGTCTAAGCTAGTTTTTTCCAGACTTGACAGCTTTAAGATGTGTGGACTGAAGTCCACACATCTTAAAGTTGCTGAGGTTGAGAAACACTGGTCTAAAGAGTAGCACCCCTGGAGAGCAGTTGAGATTCTAATTTATTATTTAGTGAAGATTTATACAGATGGAGGTTCCTGTTTAAGCAATCAAGTATTGTGCTTGGGTGTGTCTAAATCCTCTGGCTTTGGACTATCTAGGCAGAAAACATTGTCTTGCTTGAACTGGATATGCCCAGCCGGACCACACGGGATTACGAGGGCCCTGCTATCGCCCCCAAGGTCCAGGCAGCTTTAGAAGCAGCTTTGCAAGATGAAGATGAGATCCAAGTGGACGCGTCCACTTTTGAGAGTACATCGAGCAAGAAATCAAAATCCCGGTAAGCTTGTATTTTAATCAGCTATCCATTTACAGGCCTGAGTAGTTGGATGGGCTGAACTGGCTGGCTCTCAGCCACTTTAGTTGGGGAAGAGATATCTGTAAAAAAAAAAAAGTTGGTATCTGGTAGAGATGTAGGAATTTCTAAAAATTAAGGCATAGAGAAATCACAGAATGCAAAACACTCCCTCCAGTCTCTCTAAGTGGGGTCACTGAAGGAAGATTCGTGTATGCGCAACCCAGGCTTTGACTATCACTAGAAAATGATCTGGGCAGGATCTTTTCAAAGGCACAAACTGAGTAGCTTTTGTTAGCCATAAATATATAACAAATTGAATTCTTTGTAGAAATACAATTTAGATCATGATTTGTCATCTTTGTTTTCTACCAATGAATACACTGTGAAGTTATTTTAGAAAGTTGCTTCTTCTTCATGCTTCTTTTCTTGATTTTGTATTTTTCAGGCCTAAAACTGGAAGGAAGCCCGGCGGTTCTCCCTCCAGTGCCTCTGGTTCTCAGCTCTATCCCCAGTCGCGTGGGCTGGTCCCAAAGTAAAACCAGTTGCTCCTTGTCAGGGCATGGCTAACATTTTGCCATAAATGCAGAGGCAAGTAACAACCTGCAAGGGGGACTTAAAGTCCAAAATAATGCCTTTTGAGAAGAAACAACAGCCCCTTCTGCAGCTAATTTGCATCTGGTAGGACAGGTTTATGATGGATGTCTCGCCTGCATAAAGGAATTATTTGTTCCTTGGGCAGTGGGTCTAAGGTGAACAAGACTTTAGTTAGGAAATCAGAAATGCATGAGTTACATTAGTGTGTGTTAGAAGCCAAGAGAAGCATGTGGGTCCCCTTGCCCCATTGCCTTCTCTCTTCCTTTTATGGTCGTTCTGTTGCATTTGGCTCTTACTCTTGGAACCAAAGGTAATCTTGGTGGAATCACCTCAATGACACCTAAAAATATAGTGAGGTTGAGAAGTGACAAGAGGATTTTGCTAGCCGGGATGACTTTTTCCCCCCCTTTCCATTAAAAGACTGGCACCTTGGGGGGGAGGGGGGAGGGGGTGGACGAGCCTATAAGCTGGGAAAGAGGTGAGATTGAAATGCACCGCAAAAGCTTTCTGTAGAAATGCAGATCAAAGGTGAGCTTCCAAAGCCTGCTCTCCTTTTTTCTGCAGTAGAAGCAATAGGAAGTTCATCAATCCTTTGGCCTGTTTACAAGGATGAATAAAAAATAGTTCCAGGCGGATCATTTCCTGGAGATCTCAGCCATGAATGACCAGCAGGGGCTACCTGGTCTAACAGTAATCCTTACATCGGTGTCCAGCTCCAAGCTGTCATCTTCCCCTGCTCACCATCTCATTCTAGTTACACTACAGCCTGGGAGCATTTTGTGGCTGATGCTTCCTTGTCTTCCACTGTCCACGTAGCTTACATGACCTCTTGAAGGGTCTCCAGTTTCCCTCCCAGAAGAAATGGAATTTTTGGAGGGGTTGTGGTCTCCTATCAATTATAGCGTTAGACATTAGATCTGAGCAAAGCTTGAGGGGGAAGGGACCCTGAAGGTGGGGCTCCCAACAGACGTCTTGGTTGAGAGACACCCTTATGCCTCTCCCCCTTTGCTCCTAGTCAGTAAGGCAGGCTACCAAGCAGTGTGTGGGAAGTGAGATGCTGCTGAACAGGGTGGGGTCAAAAGGCTGAAGATTGTGCCCTCCCCATATTGTTTTATAGTTCAGTTTGTATATTCAACATTGTTGCAAATTGCAAGTTCAGTTGTGTTTTTTTTTTTTTATGTTGACGGTTGTACTGTGAATATATTTTCATCAGCTT